AAACTGACAAGTTAAAGAAAATGCAGTGGTGATCTGAAATATAAACGTCCTCAGGACAAACACTGTCCACATTTAGACTCAGGGTAAAAACAAGGTCTAGAGTGTGCCCCCTGGTGTGTGTGGGGCCAGAAACATGCTGGGTAAAGCCGAAGGTGTCCATAAGGCTGGAGAAATTCATGGCAAAGTGATCAGAGGGATCATCAACGTGGATGTTAAAGTCACCAACAATCACCAGTGTGGACAGCTTCACAGTGGAGGATAGAAAGTCACTAAACTCCTGAAGGAAAGAACTGTTTGGACCAGGTGGACAATAGACCACAGCACAGTAGAACGGGTCCTTACGCCCGACTTTAATCAGCTGCAGTTCAAAGGAAGCAAAGTGACCAGAGGTTGTAGAGCTACATGGAAGATGGTCTCTGAAAACAACAGCTAGGCCTCCACCACGACCAGAACCCCGGGGCTGGCTAAGAAAATAATAGCCACTTGGGCAGAGTTCAATCAGACCAGAATAATCCGATGTTTGCTGCCAAACTTCAGTCAGAAACAGAAAATCCAGGTTTTTAGAGAGAATTAAATCATTGAGCAGGAAGGACTTATTGTTAACAGAGCGGGTATTTAATAGAGCCATGCTGAGTGAGATGGAACGCGGCCTGGCGGGAATGCGGAAGTGGCGCTCAGGTCACCAAACAAAGGACAAGAAGCTAGAAGATCATGCCGAAGTTTACTAGATAAACCACGCTTTAAGAGAAGTCTCATTCTCACCTGGATTCCTGCTCATTTATCTCTTTTCCCCTGACGTTTTCCCGGGACCGGACAAACATCGCTAGAGGTGCGCAGCTCGGGACTGTCATTTGGCTCCGGGCCAGTGTGCCACTCAGGTAAACAAACAGGATGATACGTCCTCGGTGCATCTTGGGCGATCATGAACAAATGGAAGGACAAAAGAGTCTGGCGATCATAGGAGATGGTAGCAGGGACACTACTGAAGAGGATCGCAGACAGGAGCAAGGTGGAAAAGAGGAGGTTAGTGGAGAAAAGTTTGAAAAAGTGGCCGGTGACTGCGGCTAAGCCCAGCACAGGCGCCATCTTGTTGCCGACCGGAAGCGGAAGAAGAGAGGGGGGCAGCAGTGGTGGTCCCCCTTTTTAAAAATTGGGACCACCATCCCGGTCTGCTAGTCCACAGTAACTGCCCCCGATGACTATGCAATGTTGTAGCTAGTCAAGCAAGACAGTCCTACAACATCCAGAGCTGTGAGATACCCAGGTCGGATATCATCCACCCCAGGGGCTCTGCCGCTGCATAGTTGTTTGACTACCTCAGCGCCTTCTGCCCCAGAGATTGGACAGTCCATCCCCAGGTCTCCCAGCTCTGGTTCCTCCTCGGAATGTGTGTCGGTGGGATTGAGGAGCTCCTCAAAGTATTCCCTCCACCACCCGACTATAGCCCCAGTTGATGCCAACAGCTCCCCATTCCCACTGTAAACAGTGTGAGCAAGTTACTGCCTTCCTCACCTGAGGCGCCGGATTGTTTGCCAGAACCTTTTTGGAGCTGGTCGATATTCGTTCTCCATGGTCTTGCCAAACTCCTCCCACGCCCGAGATTTTTCCTCAGCAACTGCCACTGCTGCACCTCGCTTGGCCCTCCGGTACCTGTCTACTGCCTCTGGAGACCCACAGACCAGCCACGCCTTGTAGGCCTCCTTCTTCAGCTTAACAGCTCCCCTAACCTCTGGAGTCCACCAGCGAGTACGGGGGTTACTGCCACGAAAATTTCCAAGTGGAACAAGGCCCATTCCGTCTCAACGTCCCCCACTGCTCTCAGGACGTGGTCAAAGCTCTGCCGGAAGTGGGAATGTAAGACCGTCTGGACAGGTTCATCTACCAGGCATTCCCAGCAGACCCTCACAATACGTTTAATTGTAAATGGTAAATGGCCTGTATTTGATATAGTACCTATAAGAGTCCTGGAACCCCCCAAGGCACTTTACAACACAGTCAGTCATTCACCCATTCACACACACATTCAAACACTGGTGGTGATGAGCTACGATGTAGCCACAGCTGCCCTGGGGCGCACTGACAGAGGCGAGGCTGCCGAGCACTGGAACCAACGGTCCGACCACCACCAGCAGGCAACTTGGGTTAAGTGTCTTGCCCAAGGACACAACGACAGTGACCGACTGAGCAGGGCTCGAACCTGCAACCTTCCGATTACGGGGCGAGCACTTAACTCCTGTGCCACCGTTGCCCACAATATGTTTGGGTCTACCAGGTCTGCGCAGCATCTTCCCCTGCCATCTGATCCAGCTCACCACCAGGTGGTGACCAGTTGATAGCTCCGCACCTCTCTTTACTTAAGTGTCCAAACATACGATCTCAGGTCAGATGATACAACTACAAAGTCAATCATTGACCTGCAACCTAGGCTGCCCTGGTACCAGGTATACCAATGGGCATCCATGTTTGAACATGGTGTTTGTTATGGCCAGACTGCAACTTGCGCAGAAGTCCAATAACAGAACATCACTCGAGGTTAGATTAGGCTGGCCATTTCTCCCAATCATGCCACTCCTGGTCATACACACTATCATTGCCAACTTGAGCATTGAATTCCCCCGGCAGGGCTATGTATCCCCAATTCAGAGCACCATTTAGTACTTGTCCCAAGGACTCTAAAGGGTGGGTACTCCCAACTGCTATTTGGTGTATAAGCACAAACAACAGTCGGGACCCCTTTCCTGACCCAAAGGCGCAGGGAAGCTACCCTTTCGTCTCTCGGAGGAAACCCCAACTTATAGGCAGAGAGTCCACCCCAGCCCTCTGCCTCTCACCCTGAGCAACTCCAGCATCAAAGAGAGTCCAACCCCTCTCTAGGACTTGGGTTTCAAAGCCAATGCTATGTGTGGAGGGGAGCCAGACTATATCTAGCCATTACCTTTCAACCTTTTCCATACGCTCTAGCTCTAGAGTTAGAGCTGGCTATTGGGACGTTCCATGTCCCAATAGCCAGTTTTTGTGTCTGGGGATCGGACGGCCAACGTCACTGCCTTGGTCTGCTGCCTGATCCACATTGCACCGGACCCTTCATGTTCCTCCTGTAGGTGGTGGGTCCACAGGTGAATGAGCCCATGTATCCAGTTCGGGCTGGGCCCGGCCGGGCCCCATGGGCGAATGCTCGGCCACTAGGCACTCACTCACGGGCCCCTTACCCCAGGTCTGTCTCCAGGGTGGGACCCTGGTAACCCTCCTGGCTGGGTACTCTGGCTCTTTGATCTCACTTCCATGAAAAGTCTTCTGAACAGCACTTTGTCTCACCCTTTGTGGAAGGTTGAGTGGTTTTATAAAACACTTGGAGACGCATTCACCTTTTGACAGCGTGGGTCTTTAATGAGTCAAATCTGCTCAAAACATACAAACAACCTTTTGGACTGAAGACCAAAAACAAGAACACAGCGCTTAATTTTATACACTTCTGCTACAAGCACGAGCTGCGCGTGCATGCGCAACAGTGTTGACTTCCCAAACTTGGTGATGTCCCAATGGTATTACAAGTCTTTTGACACTTGGTTGAAAATTTCCCCTTCATGACAGATCTTTCCAAAGTTAGCTTTAACTTGACAGTTGCACTTTAAGAATCAATAGCCCTGTCTAAATACTGTTATTAGAAGCTTGGGCCACTGACCATAAACTTATCTGATAAGCACTTCTGCACGCAATGCATTCTAGCTCTGCCTGGAAACAGTCTTCAAAACAAAATTCCTGTGGAGCTGACGGGAACACATAAACTTTCCCATCAACAATCAAGCTTTTAACCCAAAGATTCACAATTCGGCTCTATACTTTTTGTACAGATGACCTCTTGACCTTTAAAGCCCCTACACCATCACTTATTTGCCATGAGTGACCCTACCAAGGACACAAAGTGCCACAGACAACATAGCTCCTAGGATCCTTAGGGCACTCAAACTCCTCCACCACGATAAGGTGGCGGTTCGAGGAGGAGGCAGCGAATTTTTTTTTAAAAAGCCGCCATACTTAAAAAAATAACATTCTTTATTTTGCTATTTGATGAAGATCATAAAAGTGCTGATCTAGTTATAGTCTTAATGTGACCATTGAAGCCAAGGTCTGAATCAAACATAAGATTTCTAACCTGAGTCTTTGTTTTTACTTCTCTGGAGTCGAGATGAACAATAATCTCCGTCCCATCTTTCTGATTTCCAAAGACAATAACTTCAGTTTATCATTTAACAGGAGGAAGTTTGACTCCATCCAGTCATAAACTTGCTCCAAACACTGACAGAATGAGTCTAGGGGACCACAGTCACTAAGTGATAGAGCTAGGTAGATTTGGGTGTAATCTGCATAACAATGATAGGTAGAGGTGTTATTGTGTATGACCTGACCCAGGGGAATCATGTAGAGATTGAAGAGCTGTGGTCCAAAAATTGAGCCTTGGGGGACCCCACGTCACGGCAATCTGCTATGATTTGTGGACACCAATAGAAACGTCACAACCCCTGTCTGAGAAGGATAATCAAAACCAGCTAAGAACTGTGCCTGAAAGTCCTACCCGGTTTATGAGCCTATCAAGAAATATGTTGTGGTCCACGGTATCACTGAGCTGTACTGAGATCGAGCATTATTAGAACAGATGTTTTGCCTGAATCTGTATTTTGACAAATATAATTTAATACCTTAATCAGTACAGTCTCAGTGCTGTGGTGTCTAAAGCCTGACAACAACAAAAAAATAAAAAATAAAAATAAACATCTAGCAAGTCTTTTTTTCTCCAAAAAGCTGTTCAGCTTGATCATAACTGCCTTTTCAGTAATTTGTCTGGACATGTGTGGCTGTAGCTGTGGTCTGATTGTGCATGTTGACATGGAGGAATGAATAGTCAATCTGATGTTAATGGTTTTCTCATACTAGAACAGATCTAGGGTCATAAAATGGAATAATATATTTTATTAATGAAGAACTTTAGAGATTTTGTAAAAAGACAAGGTAAAACAGACAGATTATGCAACAATAAAAAATAAACTGTAAAACATTTTTGAAATCAGTCTTGAGAAGAGTTTTGATGGTGGAGAGGTCAGAGCAGTTGTGGAGAGGTTGTGGGAGTGAGTTCTAGAGGGTGGGGGCAGCCATGGAGAAAACTGAGTCTCCCCAAGTTCAGAGCTTGGTTCTGTGAGAGAGGGAGGAGAGGCAGAGGGATGGGGCATGGTGGTGGAGCAGGTTAGAGAGGTAGGAGGGCTCCTGGTTATGGAGGACTTTGAATATGATGCACTGAGGGAGAGGGAGTCGATAGAGGTGATGTGGTCACTGGTTAGGAGACAGGCAGGACAATTCTGGATGTCTTGAAGTTTGGTGAGGGTTTTGGATGGGATACCATATAGATGCTATTGCTGTAGTTGATTTGTGATGTGATGAATACATGAATAAGGTTTTCAGGTACAGAGAAACAAGGGAAGATCAAAGTCTAACAAAATGCAATCCAATCACATGACAAAAAGATCCTGGAATACCTCCACCACCAATACGCCTTTTCCTCTTCCATAACCACAATCTTCCCCCTTTACAATTCTGTCTGCTCCCTCAAATGTGCCAGCCTAGAACCGGCCCTGCTCTTTACATACATTTATGTTTATAATGTAGGAAATGAAAAAAAAACTACTTTCTCCTTCACTGGACTTTAGATTTTGGAATTGTAAACTGTTCAGGAGGTTGTACGTCCCTCAGTCCACAGTATCTACAGTATGTTGGCCTCACAGGAGTCGGGCTTCAGGATCTGTAAAGTTACAATATGTTTAACAGCTTTTCTGAACCAGGGATAAAACATGGCATAGATCAGAGGGTTTAGACAGGAGTTAAAATAACCAAGAAAGAACAAGAATGATATATATGTTGTAGTTGTAAAACTATCTATAAAATAAAAGCAGCAGTAATATGGACAGAAACACATCAGATACACAACAACAAGAACACCCAGTGTTCTGGCTGCTTTTAGCTCTGATTTCTTTGTTTGTTGTTGCACTGAAAGCTGAAGGGTGACACTTCTATTGTGAGAGTACATGGCACGAGCCTGAGTCACAGCCACCACAAATACTCTCATATACAGAACTATGATGACTGTAACTGGAAATAAAAAGGATATAAACAGATCAAAAGTTCCTACAAAATAATCTACAGACATTGTACATTCTCCAATGCAGGAATTACTCCTGCCTGGCTGAATCAGCATATCTTTTAAGAAGAAAATTATATAGAAAGCAACACAGCTCCAACAAAGACAAACACAGCGTTTAATTCTTGGTAAGGTTATTCTGGTGGGATAATGCAGAGGGTAACAAATAGCCACATAGCGATCAGCTGATATGAGAACAACGGTTCCAATTGAAGCACAGATAGAAACAGAAGAAACATAATAGTAAAATAAACATGTGATATCACCGAGTATCCAGCAGTTTGTCTTTCTAAAGATTTCAAATGGAATGATTAAAAAGCCAATAAGGAAATCTGACACAGCCAGAGAGAGGATGAGGATGTTAGAAGGTTTCTGGAGCTTCCTACAAAGAAACAAAGTCAGTCAGTTAGGTTAAAATAACTTATGCAGCATAAAATCACATTCTGATCAGATAAGAAATTGATCAGTTTGATGTTTATTAATATCTGCCTGAAATAGGAGACTGAGATTATGATGAGGAGGTTTAGAACTGCTGTGATCAGAGAGATGAAGGACAACACGATGTTCAGGAGGACAGCTTCAGACCAGTGAGGTGTTGGCCTCCTGCAGGACCTGTTGAGTTGTGGAAAACAGAACTCAGCTTCAATCTGTATCTCCATCATCAGATGGATACTGCTGTCTGAGCAGAACCCTGTCACACAGATCATTTATCCTTTTCTTCCATTACACAATTCTCATTAGTTCCGAGCACCACCATTACTCATCCCTTGTGGCCAAAAACATCAAGGCAACAAAAACAAGCTAAAAGATTATGTTAGACAGGAGTCATCATGGACCTGTGGCAGTCCGTCCATAGAGAGCCCTAGGACGCCACCCTCCCTTACTTGAAGGGGGAAAACTAATTAAAGTAAACAACTCAAAATGTATTCATATATTTACTATAAATGTAAACAGCAAAAATAAACAATCAATGATGAACAAAAGTCTGCTTGTAGACATGCAGAAGTGTTACGTCCCCTTTAGTTGGGCCTGTAAGTGCATGAGTGGTGGGGACTTTTTTTTTAAACCGTGTCCTGTCTGGCTGTGAAGCAAGCAGAATTGATGTCTGAATGCTGGTGACAAGCCTTACAGATTTACTCTCAGGTGGAGCATCAAAGCGTCTGCTTTAAATGTCACACCTGATACTTCAAATTTTATTGTTATTGTTTTTGAATGCTTTGTAATTACGAACAGACACGGAGACAGAGGTGAAAGAGAAAGGAAAAGACAAACGGTGGGAAGAGAGGGTGTGTGTGTGTGTGTGTGGGGGGGGGGTCCACAAAAATAAACAATAATGAACAAGAGTCTGTTTCTAGACCTGCAGAAAGAGAAGAGCAGAAAAAGAAGGGACACACAACAATACATCAGGAGCAAGCTATCACTGCGTCAACGGGATGATGAAATATAAAATCAACATTGTTTAACTGAACAATCACACGATAATAAATCATAGTGCATTTAGTGGCAACGACAGCCTTGAGACAAGTGTTGAACGTGCCCAAGTCCATACTTATGAGAGCATCATGTGAGCACCTGTGTGTGTACACGCGCTTGTTTATGTAAGGTTTCTCTATAGGAGTGTCCAATAGAGAGTGTGAGGGACCACAAATCTGCCCCCCAAAGATGCGTAGGAGATGGGGAGAGCTCCAAGTCCCAGAGATCCAGGCGCTGCCCCAGAACACAGGAACCCCAAGGAGACTGCAACCAGAAAGGCCCCCGCCCCCTTTGAGAGGCGCAGAGGATCGCCCCAGGGGGCCACAACCAGCAGCCGGCAGAGCCCCGGGAGATATCAGCGGCAAGCCCACAGGCCCGCCTGCCGCCTCCCACCCCCTAACCGGCCGAGCCCGGGACCCTGCGACCCGGGATCCAGGGGCGACCACCCCCGCCGGGGACCCAGCAGAGCCCAGGGACCCAGACCCCACCAGGCAGCCACCGGGATTGATCAAGCAGACGCCAAATCTTAAACCCCCTGACCTGGGAGCCACGAACACTCAGGCAGACCAAGGCACCACACCAGGTGTGGCAGGGGGAGGGGAGACGAAGATCTATATCTTCAAAGGAGGTCCCAGGAGAGGGGAGGAGTCAAAGGCCCCACCTGATATATACAGTCATACACAAACACAGTCACACACTCACTCCCTCATGCTCACACATGCACATACAACCAAAGACTTACAAAAATGCACGCCGGACACACACTCATGCTCCCCATACACACCCTATTAACTCTGTTCCCAGTACTGCTGCACACTGGGTACAACCACCACCGGTTATTGTATTTTTTTTATATGGCATACTCATTGTGGAGCGGCGGAGCGGAAGGAAACTGTGAGAACCAGGAAGAGTGTCTCGTCTCCATGGTGATGATGTCGGGGATTCCCTCACAGTGAACTTGCTGCAGTGATGTCATCCAGAAACCCCGGTCGAAGCGCTGAGAGCACAGCTGCAGGAGATGAGGACTGATTATTTCAGCTGTGCCAGAGAGGATAAAGACGGCGTGGGATCCGCAGTTTGAGGAGCAACTCTTACCCATAGGTTGTCTCCCTGCTCCTCTCTCCCGTTGAGACTCGTGTTTGATTGTAATCAAATAGAGTGTGCATGTTTTCCAAAATAGCTGTCATACTCTAGACAGACGGTGGTTATAGTTTTGTTTGTTAGTTTTGTTTGTCCCGATCCAGAAGTGTAGAAATCGTGTTTTGAGAAGACCATTTTGTAAGAACCCCAGCCTTTATTTTGTTATCTTTTAGAGGTTCCAGCTAAACCAGAAAGCTTGGTATATTTGTTGTATTTTATTCCTGGGGCTTGTTCCCCAGCCCCTTTTCGTTTGTGTAACTGGTACTATCCTGTGAGGCGGTTATATCTCCTCCTTTTATTTTATTAAAATATATTGTTATTTAACAACCGACGACTCCTCCCACTCCTTTTACCCTCTAGTCATCCTTGTACCTTCATCTGGTTAACTTTGCCCGGATCCTAAACGGAGTCGTAACAAGAAGGAGAAAAAAAAAAGAAAAACAACACACAACAATACAGCAGGAGCAAGCTATCACTGCGTCAACCTGATGAGGAAATATGAAATCAAAATTGTTTTACTGAACAATCAAACAATAATACGTCACTGTGCATTAAGTGCCAACCACAGCCTCAAGATATGTGTTGAACGTGCCCAAGTCAATACAAATGAGAGCACCATGTGAGCACCTGTGTGCATACCCGCGCTTGTTCATGTAAGGTTTCTCTACATGAGCGTCCAATAGAGTGTGTGAGGGGCCACAGATCTGCCCCCCAAAGATGTGTAGGAGATGGAAGGAGCTCCAAGTCCTAGAGATTCAGGAGCTGCCTCAGAGCGCAGGGACCCCAGGGAGACTGCAACCACAAAAGCCCTTGTCCCCTTCAAGAGGCGCAGAGGATTGCCCCAGGGGGCCACAACCAGCAGCCGGCAGAGTCGCGGGGGATATCAGCGGCAAGCTCACAGGCCCACCCGCAGCCTCCCACCCCCAAGTCAGCTGAGCCCGGAACCCAGCGACTCGGGACCCAGAGGCGACCAGCCCCGCCAGGGACCCAGCAGAGCCCAGGGACTCAGATACCACCAGGCAGCCACAGAGATTAATCAGGCAAACACCAAAAATCTTAAACCCCCTGACCTGGGAGCTGCGAACACTCAGGCAGACCAAGATGCCACACTCCACACCAGGTGTGCCTACACCACGCTCAGGACAATCCAGACTCTTTTCATGCATCGTTCCACAGATGTGGAATGACCTACCAAGCACTACCAGAACAGGGGCTTCCTTTTCAAATTTCAAGAAACTCCTGAAGACCCTGCTCTTCAGAGAGCATCTTCTAAACTATCACCCTCCCTGCACACGTCCCCCTACCTACTGTCCACACTTTTGTTCCCACCTCTCCATGATTTATCATGCTGCCTCACTGCCACCTATGACTGACTGGAAAATGGTTGTTGATGTTGTTGTAATTGTTGTTGTTAGCTTCAAGGGCAACATGCCGATTATCACTTGTAAGTCGCTTTGGACAAAAGCGTCTGCTAAATACATAAACTTAAACATAAAAATAAGTGTGGCAGGGGGAGGGGAGGCAAAGATGTGTAGCAGCAAAAGAAGTCCCAGGAGAGGGGAGGAGTCAAAGGCCCCACCTAACATATACTAGGGGTTGTATGAACTAGTCGACTAGTCGACTTCACGGCTCTGTAGTGACATTTTATGCCTGTCATCGACAAGTCGCTGTCACGTGATAATGACTGACAAGATGAAGTCCTCCAGCAGGTGATGAGCCCCTGCGTCGGGAGGCGGAGGCGACGCGCTGTGCCAGAGCGTCAGTACTGACACCTGCGGTAAAACGGACATTTAACCAAACTGTGACTTTTTCCCTCTTGCAATTTTACCTTCCCCTCACCCCATCCTAATCTTAACCGGTTTGCGCATGCAAAGCTCTGATCGTTGACGCGCTCCATCTGCGTCCTGAGCACCGCCAAATCAGGTGTCACCACCTCAAAAACAAATTAAACACGCGATCGTTCATGTCGGCTCATTTCCTTTCATGTTTTCTGTCTTTTATTTGTGCCTGATGCGTTTCGCTGCTGCGGAGCGAGGCTCTTCACCTGTTTTGCTCTCCGGTGACGCACCCCTAGGGCTGGGCGATATGGCAAAAATAGAATATCACGATTTTTCCAATATTTTATCACGATTTCGATTTTATCACGATTTTTTTTATCCATGAATAGCATCACTTCAATTGCGTATTAAAGAAGAGAAACATTGAATAAATAAACATTTATTCATATTAGGAATAATCAGCACAGTGCTAACACACTTATATTTTAAACTCACACCAGAGATGATAAAAGCCCTGAGAGAAACAATTACAAAAATCAGTTTTTCTCGTTTTTCAAGTAACTTAACATAAATTAAAATCGTAAACATATTTAAAGTGCAAACATGTCATTTGCAAACGTATTGTGCAAACATTAACTTGTTCAAAATACCATGTAGCTCCCAGTTGCTCATGTAGTGGATAGTTAAGCTCAAATACGGCTCTGATGTGCGGCTGGAACAGAGATCGCTTGTGGTAGCAAATAACTGCGCATTCTGAATATTTTCTGCAACAAGTCTCTAAATAAAGTAAAAATTTCCAGTGCAGATTGGAGACAACCGATAGAAGCACTGATTTGATCTCATTTCAGAGAAAAATAGAACAGGTTAGATGCACCTAATAAATAAAATTACTAACAAACTTCCCAGTTCTGGTGCTGAGAACATCACTAATGCGGATCAAAGGAGATACACAGATGAATGAACCTCTTATTATTTGGAGACTACATTTACTGCAGCTGGCAGAGGCAGAGATTGTTTCTATTGATACACGGATTTACAGAATCATTTTAAATGTTAATAGGGGAAGACTGCAGGAGGGAGCGGTAAAATACAGAGGTCCCTAAGAAACTTTACGAGTCTGATAAAACCCGCTGGTTTTCCATCAGGCAGTCACAGGGCAGCTCCAACGACCCAGTGACCGAGCTCAGTCCGGTACCGACACCGGCTCGGCAGAGGGTGGACGAGCCGAGGCGACGTCGTGCTCTGCTTAAGAAGCGGTGTTATTTTCCTGCTTCAGAAGAAGCGTCCAACGTGTTTTTATGGTTTCTCCGAGACATGTCACCTCGCTAAGTTATTAGCGCCGCGCGCTAAGGAAACCCTGCGTTCCTCTTCGGAACGAAAACCTTGTTGTCGCTCTCAGCCGCGGCCGAAGCCACGTTTGTTCACTGCGGGGCACTAATATATTACTATGACTCACTCTGATTGGTTAAGGGTCAAACAAAGGCGTGTCATTCGCCTGGGGTAAGTTCCCTTTTCATTCAGAGGCAGAAATTCAACAGCACAGCTGTGAATCGTGATAAAACGGTCTCTCAAAAATGACAGACCGTCAGATGTGTAGATCGTAAAACGGTCTAAAATCGTCATATCGCCCAGCCCTACGCACCCCCAAGATTCCACTATCTCCGCTCCGGCATGAACTCCGCAGCAAAAACGGTCCCGTTGTAGTCAGTCGGCGAGCAGCGGCACTCTGCTGTTTTTGTGGTCGATAGATCTTTTAGAACTGCAGTTCAAAGGTAACTCATAAGGTGAACATAAATGAGCCCAGGTAGCAGTTTTTCTTTAGGGCTGAGAGGAGATGCAGGAAGATAATAAAC